CTCTCCACATTCAGGTTGGAAGAACGGAGGGCGGACATGCACGCTCTGTCATTTGGAGGCTGAAATTCAGAAAACATATAGAAATGGGAGAAAAGACACATCTGTCATGTCTTCCAAACTGAGCTGAGGACATCTGCAGCTACTGCCACCATCTCACTCTAGTACAACGGGAAAAACAGATGTAAAAATAGAAGTGATATATTCAACTATTAACAGTGAGGCAAAACTGAATATAGCAGTCTGCAGAAGCACTGACGTAGAACGGGAAATGGCTTCTTCTAGGGCAGGCTGTCTGCTTCGAGTGGACCACATGCCAATGAACTAAAGATGTTTCCACCATCCATGTCAGCCCTGAGTTTTTAATAAGGGATTAGGAGGAAGAGAAAAGCGAGAAGGTTACAAACCGACTGAGAGCAAGTAATACCCTCCTGACAGAAAACTGAAGAAGCCCATTTGTTCAGAAGAAAATGCCTCCCTGGGAGCTCCTCACTCGCCATGTGAATTATCTTATCTTTGTCAGATTAATGAAGAGACTGCACAGCTGTGTGCAGAACAGGTAAGAATTTTAATAACGAAAGTACTCGATGAGAGGACGAAGATAGCATAAAAAAGATGAGGAAGATTCTAGACCCAGAAAATCGCTACCCTGGTTCCTGTCAGTGTCACTGCTCCTCCACTTGGGGGATGCTGAGAGCCCGTTCAGCATATTCAGCAGGGCAATTCAGTAGAGAGTCTTTATCACTAATATCCATTTATGAGTGAATTGCTTAGATGGAGCTTTTTTGTTGTTGTTTGAAATATAATTCATGCATCATAAAACTCACTCTTGAAAGGTATATGCTTTAGTGTTTAGTATTATCCACAAGGTTGTCCAACCATTACGACTGATTCCAGAACATTTTCATCACCCTAAAGAGAAACTCCATACTCATTAGTTGTCACCTTCTGTCCCCTCCCAGCAACCATCAGTTGACTTCCTGTCTCTGTGGATTTACAATACCTATTCTGGATATTTCATAGAAAGAAAATCTTAATATGTAACCTCTTATGCCTGGCTTCCTTTACTTAGTAGTATGTTTTCAAGGTGCAGCCATGTCAGAGCATGAATCAGTACTTCATTCCTTTTAAAAAATAATTTATTATTTAACAATTTACCTATTTTAATGTAAAAAATTCAGTGCATTTAGTATACTCACAATGTTGTACAATCACCAACCTCTTTTCTAGTTTCAAAACGCTTCCATTACTCTAAAGTAAAACTCCCTACCCATTAGGCAGTTTTTCCCCATTCCTCCTCCCCCAGTCCATGGCAACCACCGATCTATACTCTGTGTCTATGTATTGATCTATTTCTGAGGATTTCATTTAAATGGAATCATATAATATGTAACCCTTGGTGTCTGGCTTCTTTCACTTCGCATAATGCTTTGGGGGTTCATCCATGTTGTAGTATGCATCAGCATTTCTTTTAATGGCTGAATAATATTCCATTGTAGGGATATACCACAATTTGTTTACCCGTCATCTGCTGATGAACATTGGGTTCTTTCCAATTTTTGGCTATTATGAATAATGCTGCTATGAACATTGACATACAAGCTTCTGTGGACACATGTTTTCATTTCTCTTGGGTATATACCTAGAAGTAGAACTGTGGGGTCATATGGTAACTCTGTATTTAACCTTCTGAGGCACTTCTAGACTGTCTTCGAAAGTGGCTGCACCATCTTATCTTTCTACCAGCAATGTATGTAAGTTCTAATTTCTCTGCATCCCTGACAATACTTGTTGTTGATTATAGCCATGCTAGTGGGTATGAAGTGGTCTCACTATTTGTTTTAAAATCAAAGTTATCCATATATATAGTTTTAAAAGATAAGGTTTAAGTATAAATGCCCAATCCCTCTACATTCCCATTTCCATGAGGCAAATACTTTAAATTCTTTATTGGTTTCTTCCGGTAATTATCTGATGTTTCTGGGAATATACTGCTTTCAAAAAACCAGTTTTAGGGTTGGGTATAGTGGCTCATGCCTGTAATCCCAGCACTCTGGGAGGCTGCGGTAGGCAGATTGCTTGAGCCCAGAAGTTTGAGACCAGCTTGGGCAACATGGCAAAACCCTGTCTCTACTAAAAATACAAAAATTAGCCAGGCATGGTGGTGTGTACCCGTAGTCCCAGATACTTGGGAGACTGAGGTAGGAGGATTAACTGAACCTGGGAGGCAGAGGTTGCAGTGAGCCAAGATGGCGCCACTGCACTCCAGCCAAGGCGACAGAGTAAGACCCTGTCTAAAACAAACAAACAAAAAGTCAATTTTAGATATTACCTCTTGAGTTCCAATTATAAGGATTTAGTTTTCTTATGTCCCCACAATGTGCAAATGCACATTCATTTTATCCTTCCTTCTTCGCAATATTATCATAATCTCCATTTTTGGTTAAATCAAGAATTGGCATTTATATTGTTATGACTATGCATTTATAGTCATGTGATGTACAAATATTATATTCACTTAATCATACTTTTCCCCCTTATATTCTAGAAGACCTAGAAGGGAAAATTTGCTTTACTTAAGAATTTTCCTCAGTTTAATATGTACCAATTAATAGTTCATCTTCAAATTCTGTAAGAAAATGAAAAATCTCTAGATATATTCAAACATACTGGACATTCTATTTCTTTCTTGTTTTTCTTTTGTTTAGCATGTATTCAGAACTTGATTAGCATTTGTTGAATGAATGAACGGAAATATCTAGGTATAGGCCAAAGATTTCTAGAGTCAGAAGAAAATTTAGAGATTACTTCCTCCCCACCATGATCCCTTTCTGGTTCAAAGCAGTAATGTAGTTTAGAGGTGAGGTATCAGAGGCCCTGAGAGGTTACCTGACTTCACAACATGATAGCAAATTTTCAGGGGGAGCAGGGACTGAAACTCTAGTTTCCTAGGTCTTAGAGCCCCTCCTCTGTGTCAGGTTGCTCCCACAGAGAACAAAAGTCATTTATCCTGAAGGGGATGTAGACTTGGGATATTTATGCAATTTCCTGAAACTCAAAAATTCATAGCAGGTGCTAAGAATCCAAATGAAAGAGCACAAAACAGTATCATCAAAATGTGAAAACCTTCTTAGTGAACTTTGCTGTATTTAGTAATCTCAAAGTTGTGATCAGTCAGGATCTATGAAATCCAATCCTGCCACATGAAGTTACTCTGAGAATCACAATTACAACTCGAACTAGGGCATTCCCAAGGCTAGTTTCTTCTAAATGTAGTCCCATGCCCAAGCAGCGTATTTCCACATGACTGTTCTGTGGCAGGCAAGAGTTGTTTTTGTCTGGTCAGCACCCACTTCCCCATCCTCTGACATGAGTTCTTCGGATTAGTATCTGAAACCAGGGACAGGGACATGACATGAGGCACAGTGTGGGTGGGGAGTGGACCCACATGAGCTCAGAGCCCACTATCAGGAAAGCAGAGCTGACAGGGAGGGAGCCAGTGAGCAAGTGACCTGACTTGCCTGGTTGACACAGTTTAGCCTCTGCATTCTGCTCTATCTTCACACTTTCCAATTATATGCACCAACTAAATCCTTTTTCCTGCATAAGCCTGTTGGAGTTGTGCTTCTGGTGCTTACAACCCAAAGGAGTAGTGACTAACATGGACACTGAGAATAGGGGCTGAGCCACTTCTATGCATCCATATAGGTCTTTGAGGACCCCCTCATTTCACTTTTAGCAGGAGATGAATAGAGTCTTCACACTTCAGGTCAGGACTTAAGTGTTAGTCTAATGGAGGATCGATTTCAGAACTAAGAATCCCCTCAAATTCAGGTTCTTGTCCTTGACAAAACAGAAAATAAACTAATAGTTTCAGAAATGACTAAATATGAAAAGAATAGCAACACCAAGCACACTTTATCAAATACCTGGTAAAGCACATTTTGAAAGGCAACCAAGATGTTAATTTCAGGTCATATAAGCATTTCTTGCACTTGAATATTTTTCAAAGTACATTCACATCTAAAACTTCATCAGATCCCCTCAGCCTTCTTTTTTGATAATGACCCACATTTTAAAGTCGCTTCTAAGCATAAAAACAAACCAAAAAATTTTTATAAATAATTATCTATCAATTTCTTCTAAATAAAAACCCCAAAATGTTTACTCTTCCTCAGCTCTAGTTTACTCACTTTTCTAGTGAGCTTTTCTGAATTCTAACACTACACAAACAATTTCTATTTCTCTAGCTTTCGGGAAACCATGAGTCTTTTTTCTAACTTGTTTCCTTTTCATTCTTGCTCTGTAACCATGGCTTGTCCACTTAGCACACTTGTCCTTAGCACAGTGTCTTACACAGAAAATGTCTGTGTGGAGTCCATAGGCCTAATATGAATCTCCACCTTTGTCACCTACCGGCTATGTGATTCTGTACAAGTTTTTTCTTCTGTAAAATGGAAATAATATCTGTCTCATAGAATTGTTTAAAGATTAAATGAGGTGTAAGCAAAAGGGACACAGCAAGCAGGCAGTAAATGCTACCATTTGCTGGTTAAAGAATGATCTCTTCTAACAGCGCTCCTTGCTGTTCATTTCACATGAGAGGCTTGTAAGACACAGCTATCTGTTCACTGTCTAGAACCTAAGCCCCATGAGGGCAGAGACTTTGCCTTATTTATTGCTATATCCCCAGCACCTATCATATGACTGGGACATGAATGACTGAATAAATGAATGAATATAGGTAATACAAGTATAATTTTACTGGTATTCTGATCTTATGGGTGAGGAAACTGTCTCCGAGAGGTCAAGTTGCTTGCAGAAAGTCCCGCAGAGTTAGAGTGGGATTAAAACACAGTTCTCCTGCCTGGCTGTTCTTCTTTTTTACCATATCACCTACTAGGCCTTTATCTTATTATCCAAAAATTTAGGTGCAGTATCTAATTAGTTACCAAGCAACAATTTTCAAGGGCTAAAAATGATTTTTAAACTTTAAAACTTACCGTGGTATCCACAGCCTTGACTTTCTCCGTGGGAATGTGCTTTGGTTCAGGTTCTGTCTGTGACAGCACCACACATCCCTCAGCGCCTAAGGTAACGATTACCACCTGGCAGCCCCTTTTCAAGAGCACTAATGCAGCCTCCCCAGCATCTGCAGCACTGCCCACTGTGAGGCCAGTTAAAATCTCAGCCTGGAATACACAAAAGTCAACAGAAACAGTGGAGAAAATAAGTAACCTGGATCCACTTCCAGATTTGTTTTTCTAGAAAATGTCTCCCTTCTTTTTCATAACAACCAATGCAATGGGAACCTTGATGGATGTCGGTACAGTAAAATGAATAAAGCAATACCAATGACAACAAAAACTATAAAAGACATCCTTGGGACAACAGGGGAAATTTGAATGTGGCTTGGATATTAGATGATAGCATAGAATTACTGACAATTTTCTTAGGTGTGATAAAAGTATTGTGGTTCCTCTTAGGAGACATATGCCAAAGTATTTAGGGGTGAAGGATCATTCTGTCTATAACTTACTCTCAACAACAACAACAAAAAAATACTTTTTTCACTTACTTTTCATCAAAAACAAAGCTAAATACATACAGGGAGAGGAGGCGCAAATACACCAAAATGTTATCAAATGTTTAGGTGAAAGAGCGTTCATCAGCTTTTCTGCACGTATAATAATTTTAACAAAGAGTTAGGGGCAACAAAGAGA